CTATTAATCATATATATATATATTTTTTTTTATTATAATTATATATATATTATTTATTTATTTATTATTATTATTATTATTGTTTTCTCTTTTATTATGCTAACTACCTAAGGACTTCGGTGAATTTTCTTTTTTTCTTTTTCCTTTTTGTTTATTGTTTACGAGGGTTTTTTTTTTTTTTTTTTTTTTTTCTATACCCTCCACACGAGATATTATTACCTGAATAATTTTCCATGTCCCGAGGACGTTGTTCCTAGATCATAAAATTTCGAACTTTTTGCACGCGCCAAATACAATATCCTCGAATTGCACGGGGCATAAATTAATTTTCTCTTTTTTCTCATAAACGGCCTCTTTTGATTCTTCTTCGGCCTCGATAATTCTATTATACGTTCGGTTGCTAAATATTTGTTATTAAAAAAAATAAAAAAAAAGAAAAAATAAATAAATAAAAATAATTATTAACGAAACGAGGAGAACATTTTTTTTTTGTGGGCGTATATGTACGTATGCATGTATGTGTGCGCGTGTGTGTGTAATATAGAGGAATAGGTGAGTGGGTGGAGAAAGAAAAAAAATGATAAAAAATAGAAAAATAATTATATATATATATATATACGTGTGTGTGTCTGTGTGTAGGAAGTAGAGGAGTGGGTGAGTGGGTGGAGAAAGAAAAAAAAATGATAAAAAAATTATTTTAATTATTATATAGATATTCATATATGTGCGTGCGTTTACTAACGAATTGCCAATAAAGCAGCCGGTGCGACGTAATGAAGTAATTTAGATGGTGGCACGTAAATTGTTTTTGGTTTCGAAAGTTCGAGAATTCTTGGCGTTGCCTTTGGAATTTTTTTATTCAAATTTGTACGATTTTCTGTTGGATCCAATACGTTCGTTCGTATGCGCGGTTGTGCCAATCGATTTATACGTTCTGTTATCTCATAGAGTAAGGCCGACGTCTTTACCTGATTATCGTAATAGAAAATATAGGTTACGATTTTAAAAAAGGAAAAGAAAAATTGCAAAAATGAACGAAAGAAAAACAATACGACATGGCTAAGATGACGCTCGTTAGGACGCACAAATCTTTTTTGCATGAAACGTTCATGATATTTCTTATTGATCGAAATCTCTTTATCTCGCAAAAAAAAAAAAAAAAAAAAAAAAAAAAAAATGATTAACCGACTACAACTCAGAAATTAAAATTATTGTGAGGCAATAAAGTCCTCAAGCGAGCTGGAAGTATTTAATTTCATTAAAAAAAAAAAAAAAAAGGGGAGGGGGAAAATGTCGAAAGACATACTAAAGGAATTCGTACTTTGAAAGAATTGTCCTTGTTGTTCGAAACATTCCTAAGACTTTTTGTAGAGATCATCGGTGACGAGGACGATGGTTCTTCATTCGAAATATAATAATTCACATTCCTCTTCCTCGTCGACAAAATTTTCTTATCGGCTTGACTATTATTAGACCGTTCGTAATTTATCGATTTTTCAATGAAATTTTTTTCACCTTTAAATTTACTCGACGACGGTCGTTGTTGCTGTTGTCCACCATTGAACGGTCTACTTTCGAATCGTCCCAATCGAGACTCCATCGATTCGAATCGATCCCATAAATTTGAACTCGTTGAAAATAAGGTGGCCATTTAATGACTGTGACGTCAATTCGTTCGTGCAGTGAATTCAAAAAAAAAAAAAGAAAAAAGAAAAAAGAAAACAAAAAAAAAAAAGAGAGAAAAAAGAAAAAATTAAAACTACGAATTTTGAATATAATTATCCCGAAAGGAAAATCTTTTTATTAGGTATTTAACCTTTAAGTGTCAATAAAAAAAAAAAAAAGAAAGAAAGAAAAAAAATTATATTCGATCGAATAAATGAGAATCTCTAATCGATTACATCGCGTCATCTGTATTTATCCATTTAATCCTAATTTCACTTTGTGCATTTTATCATTTCAAAAAATTCGTTTACTTTTCTTTTCTTTTTTTTTCCTTTTTGTTTTCTTTTCTTTTCTTCTTTTTTTTTTTTTTTTTTTCTTTCTTTTTTATAGACAGTGCTATGGGGTACCAACTTAATGCGCAAACTAATTTGTTCAACGAATACGTTTTGGCTGTGACCAGGTAAGCGTATATAAATTTTTTGTTTCTTTTTTCTGACTTTTCTTTTTTTCATAATAATAACAATAATAATGATGATGATGATGATGATGATGATAATGATAATGATGATGACAATTAATAATAATTTCATAGTTATTGTTATTATTGTAAAAAAATTATTATTGTTATGTTATTATTATTATTATTATTATTATTATTATTATTATTATTATTATTATTATTATTATTATTATTAATAGTACAATGTACAAAAAGTTAATACTCAATGAAATAAAATATTATAATATAATAAAATTATATTAATAATAATAATAATAATAATAATAATAATAATAATAATAATAATAATAATCAATATTACTTATAGCAATACAATTATAATAATTGAAGTTATAATATAATAATATTGTTATAATAACAATAACAACGATAATAATAATAAAAGTTCAAACAATTTTTAAATTCATCTTTCTAAAATCTATTTTAGAATGTCTCAAATCATGCAGCATAGATTTACAAATGTTTGGACATCGTTCAACCTGATATTCAGATTGACAAAATTAGGAAGAGAACACGATCATGCTCTTAAAATAATTCATAGTTTCGTTGATAAGGTAAAACAATGTTAATACATATAATTAATATATAAAGATATACATATATATATATATATATATATATATATATATATATATATATATATATATATACATATATACGTATATATACGTGAATATGTCTGTTAATATAATTAAATATTAATATTTAAATAATTTAAATCTTTGATCCTATTTAGATTATAGCCGAAAGAAAACAGGAATGGATAAACAATCAAAATGACGATTCTAACAAACCAATGAAGAAACATCGTGCTTTGTTGGATTTGTTATTAGAAATATCGAAAGATGGTACAATCTTGACTGATACTAACATTCGCGATGAGGTTAATACGTTTATGTTTGCTGGCCACGATACAACAGCTACCAGCATATCCTGGATATTGTATGCTTTGGGAAGACGACCCGAATATCAGGTTTTTATTAATTTAAATTTTATTTTTTCTTTTTTTTGGTAACACATCTTTTTAAGGGGGAAAAAAAAGAAAAAAAAATAAATTTATTTACAACTGACGAGTCCTAATATAAATTATCATTAAATTTCTACAATTAATTATTAAATTTTATTTAATAATTAAAATATTAAATAATACGATTTAATAATCAATATAATATTAATCTATATGAACTACATTTTTGTGCCCTATTTTTTGAAAGAAAAGAAAAGAAAAAAAAAAGAAAGAAAGAAAGAAAAAAATAACCGAATCAAAAGACTCGATATATTTATTATTATTATTATTAAATTGACGATTCATTCGACATATTTATTATATTAAATTGAATTAAAATTTAAATTAAATTTAATAATTTATTAACAATGATATAATATATGCGTATATATATATAATTAATTTATTAATTAATTAATATATAATAACAACGTTCGTATTAATAATCAATAACCAATTTTATATAATTATAATAATGTCAATTGTTAAATAACATTTACAAAATTTTTAGGAACAAATCCTAGACGAATATGACGAGATTATCGGTGACAAAGAAATAACATTAGAAACATTAAATAAATTAGTTCTATTGGACGCATGCATCAAAGAATCATGGCGTCTCTATCCGGTGGTTCCATTAATTGCCAGACAAATTTATAATCCCATTAAAATACGTAAGTATTATATACATGACGATTAAATTAAAAATTTTTTTTATCAATTAAGAAAAGAAAAAAGAAAAAATTATGAAAATGTTTTCATCGATTTCTTTTTTACTTTTTTGTCTTCATCTTCTTTTTCTTCTTCTTCTTCTTCTTCGTTTAGTGGGACACAATATTCCAGTTGGTTCGACGGTCCTAATAAACTCATATCTGTTACATCGAGACGTTCGCTATTTTCCCGAACCTGATGTCTACAAACCCGAAAGATTTTTACCAAGTAGCCCTAAATTACCATCGTACACGTTCATACCATTCAGCGCGGGATCACGCAATTGTATAGGATCGAAATTCGCGACAATGGTCGTTAAAGTGTTCGTCTTATCGATATTAAAATCTTATCATATCGAATCGTTAGTGACCGAAGACAAACTTCGTCTTATATCAGAATTAGTTCTCGTTAATAAGGACGGAATAAAATTAAAAATTACACCAAGAACGCGATGATTTCGAATATAATTTGTTTGTTTGTTTGTTTGTTTTTTTTTTTTTTTTTTTTTATTTTTTTTTTTCCATTATCAAAATGGACGTCCTATAATATATCTATGTATATATACATACATATATATATATATATATGCACGTACGTATAATAACATATTTGCATCCTTGTATATCATCTTGTTTAAACAGAATCGTTTAATATAGATTTATAAAATATTTGTAGATTATTGATTAAATTTAAGCTAAATTATACAATTAGTCGTAATTGATATTTCGTTGCTAAATAATTATCTCCTACGAATTGTAATTTCCTTCAATTATATCGAAAAATTAACGTGTGATATCTTAGAAGAAATACAAACATAAAGAAAAAGATAGAAATATATATAAAAAATGGAGAATATGTATTTTTGTAATATTAAATATATATATATATACAAAGGATATGTAATCTTTTGAAAAGTACAGGTTATATAATTGGCGTTTAAAAATTACGACGTAACGATATTGTTATAACAACTTTGTTAATGTAATCATAATATGTTTATGCCATTTATACATATATATATACATATATATATATATAACACGAATGAAATATTTTTAATAAGAAAGTTAATTTTACTTACAATTGTGTTTGATTTCTCTAATTCGATGTTATCCTTCCTATGTTTAGTTCCATAATAATCTCTACTTCTAATTTAGTCACGTGACATAGACGGCGCAAGTATTCATTTCTTGAAAACGTCCATTAAACTCCGCTCTAGTATTACAGATGGCGCCAAAGATGTTTTCTTAGTTACCTACATACAACTAAATTATAAAAATTTGAACGCTCTAGGTAATAATATTTGTTGATTCTATTTTATCTATCGAATTTTAACTCGTCTTACTTACGATAGACTGCAGTAATTTTTATATGTGGATTTATCGTGGACCCATTATGTAGAAAGAACAATTTGCACAGTAAGTAATAATTGTAATATGTTTGTTTAGTTTTGTTCGATATACAGTAGGTATAATCATACTATGACTTCTACCATGTATGGCTGTGATCTCTAGAAGAGTCGAAGGAAGAATGAATGATTTCACTTGTGTTATTGGGGTCTTTGCCGTCTCCTTTGTTTTTGAAATCTTTGTTGTCTTTTACTTTGTTTACTTGGTTTCTCACGTGTGCGTTTGATGGCGCTGAGGCATGTTAGTTATATGTCTTGCCGAAGGAGGCGTAATAGTCGCGACGAGATCGTCACAAATAAACTATGTATATGTATATATATATATGTACATAATATTGTTATAATATTGTGATATAATAGAAGTGTAAAATCTCAATAATTAAAACATAAATGAAAACATGAATGACATCAAAGAACAAAATGTTTTCTCTGATATTAATAAATTGGACGATACGACGTACGAAAAGAAAGAAAAAATTATTTCTAATGAGAATACAAAGTCAGATTTGGATCATCAGGAATTGATTAAGTTGACCAAAGAAGCTATAGATAATGTAATCGAAAGTGATCCTTTTCTTTCTGGATTACCTTTGAACGTAACGGTTGAAGAAATTAAAGCACAAATAGCTGTGGCTCAGGGACAGGCGATAACATTATTTTTAAATCGTGGAGAATTGCCAAAACTTTCTATCGTGGTAATATGCATTTCCATTATGTAATATATTCTTATCATTTTACTTTAATTGTAGATAATTAAACGCTCGAATTCTTTGTATATTTGAAATAACTTTTATTTGTTTAAATTTAGGTACCTACTCATACAACTACGGTACTTGATTTAAAAAGAGCCATCAAGAGACATACAAATTTGTGCTTCAAAAGAGATAATATTAAGAAGAAAATAAGTTGGAAACACGTTTGGAAAAAATATAACTTATGTTTCGACGATGTACAGCTCTTAAACGATAGAGAAAATTTAAGAACATACGGTATCACCAATAAAGCTGAATTATATTACGTTAAAAAGTATAGAGAAAAAAATAAATTAAGAAATATCATTAAGAATACATGACATTATTTATACATACATATATTATATTTATACAATTAAATTATTAATCTATTGATTCTTTTTATCATCTGATTTATTATACCATGAATTAAAAATCTGGCATTTTAAATTTGAATTACATTCTTCTAACATAAAACATGTCAATTCAAATGCTGCAGATTTATTATGATTTGTTACTATTAATATTCTTAGATTGCGTAATTTGTATAATGCTTCTAATGCCTTTTCAGTTACATTTTTACAATCAGATATATCTAAATACTCTAATGTTTGATATTGTCCAACTATTTTGTCGACACACCAATCATCAATATATTCGCAGCCCTTAAAACTGAGCCATTTTAAATGATAAAGGAAATCCATATTTTTAAGTCCTTCGTATGATATTAATGTATTACTTGCATCAATACAAGTAATAACATAATTTGATTTATATGAATTTGGTAAACGTACAGGTTTATTCTTTGATGCTGCTAACCAATCAGAATTTTTAAACTTTACTTTTCCATTCCATTCAATAATGAAATATGCAGCAGCTATGTTACTACCCAATAGATTCATTCTTTCAGAATTAAATTCTTGTTCTTTAACAAATAATAATTTCTTATTATATTCCCACCACATTTTAACATTACCTAAAGACAATGATTGAGTTGACGGAGCTTCTGGTTTAAACCAAGAGAAACTTGTATCAGTTTCAGCTTTTGGTTCTGTATCTTCTGGACTTATAGATTTTACACCACATAAAAATTTTGAACAATCCTTTATATTACGTGGTACACGTTCCATTAATATATTTCCAGTGCTAAAATATTGTAAACCTTTCACATTAATCAAATGATGATTGGTTTTAATTAATTCATCAAATATCAATTTATTGATGAAATGTTGTAACAACATATTGCAGAAAACAAATATGTTGCAGTAATGGAAATCAGTCTTTTTAATGTTTCTCGATTATAATATTCTTAATTTTTCTTTGAATTTAATATAATTTTCTTTACTTGAACATGTTTAACTTGAACAGGTTATAAATATTTGCGACACTTTGTACTACGTCTATTACCTTAAACTGATTGGTCGAATTTTATTATAAGAACCAATCAGATTTGTCCATTGTTAAGAACAAACTCTTATATTTTTATTTCTTTAAAATAAAATAGAAAATGTCGTCAAACCAATAGAATTTAATTTCTGTCAATTAAAACTTTAAATTTTGAAACAACAAAATTTATATCATAATTGAAATGTTCTATTTATCGACGTGACGTAAGGAATTAATATGGCGGCATCAGCTGCTTCTAGTACTATGTTCTATATGTATTAAATATGAACGTACCACAAATGTGAAGGAAATAGAGCTATCGAATTTGTTCGAGATTTATATTACGAACTTTCTTCTTTTTTCTTTTCGTATATCTAAAAAAAAAAAAAAAACAGGAAAAATAGATTGTATATATATATATATATATATACATACATATATATATGTATATATATATATATAAAATGTACTACTTGTATTACTTATGTCAATTTTTGGTTAAATATCCTAGTGCAGTCATTTTACAAAAATATTTTGACGTATGAAAGTGTCACGCCTGTGAGCTGTCAAGGATTTATTCATTTATACGACTACATTGCGAAGTAACATAATATAAGGAATAAAAATTATTTCCTTATTCTTCGTTAAAATATATTCTTAATAATTTATCGTCATGGAGGATATGCAAGAAGAGGTTAGTAATTGTTTAAGAGAAAAAAAAAAAAAAAGAAAAAAAATAAATAAAATAAAATAAAATAAAATAAAATAAGAATAAAGAAAGAAAGAGAAAAGAATGAAAAAAGAATTACAATATTATTCATGAAAAGTTTATGTGTACTTACGTCGTTTTTCTTTTTTTTTTCTTTTTCTTCTTTTTTCTTTTTTTTTCTGGAAAATATGAAAATATATGTTATGAACTTATCATTTGAAAATGGAATTATATTTGTATAAGATATTTGTCATAAATTGCATAAATTATCTAATCATTCTTGTACTTTCAGACACAATTTGTGGTCGATACCGTAAGCAAAATTATTAAAGAAGCTATTGAAGTATCCATCGGTGGAAATGCTTATCAGCATAATAAAGTTAATCAATGGACATCAAACGTCGTTGAAGCTTGTCTAGGAAATCTTACAAGACTGCAAAAACCATATAAATATATTGGTTTGTATATCAATGATATATATATATATATTGTTGTTAATTAACAAATTATATTATATATTTACCATATTCATTCTTTCAATTAATATAGTCACATGTACAATCATGCAAAAAAATGGAGCTGGATTACATACGGCTAGTTCATGCTTTTGGGATAATGCAACCGATGGAAGCTGTACCGTACGTTGGGAAAACAAGACTATGTATTGTATTGTTTCTGTATTTGGTTTAGGAATATAATACTTGAAGGATGACTTTCCAAATAATCTATATATTTCATGATTAAGTAATAAATATAGTAATATTGAAAGAAAAATTAAGGTATATGTATGCAGCTGCATAATATCTTTGCAAATTTGTCCTTTCTTTTTTTTTTTTCTTTTTTTTTTTCCTTTTTTTTTCTTCTTTATTTATTCTTTAACTCGTAATTTTTAACTCAGATATAAGAAAATATTTAAATACTAAGTGAAAAAGATCTTGAAAGTAATATTCCTGTACATTAGAATGCTTTATTATAAATATACATTTACTTGTGATGAACACACGTAGATTGGAAGAAGATAGAAAAATTATATTTTAATCGTTAATTAATTTTTTCATATATTTCAATTAAGTTTTGCTATTATAATTGCCTTATGATATATATATATATATATATATATATATATATATTTATATATGTATATATATATATATATTTATATTTTGTCAATTTAAATAAATCCAATTATTTTCTATAGTATGAAATAAAATATTTCGTATTAAGTTATTGTATTATTAAATTACATCATAAGGATAGAACATTATTGTCTATTAATACATAAAAGAAACATATATATATATATAAAGTGTAACTAAATAATATATTCTATGAATTAAATTCTTTTTTGTTTTTTGGTAGTGTTTATTTAACAGTAAGAACAAAGCTTGAACACTTATTTCTGTTTTTTTTTTGTTCTTTTCTCTTTTCTTTTTTTTTTCGTTTTTTCTTATTTTTTTTTTTTTTTTTTTTTTTTTTTTTTTTTTAATACTTTGTTTACCAATCATTGTTGAAGTTTACTAATTAATATTAGTATTAGTCAAATCTATAAAAAAACTAAACTTGTGAATAAAATTCAATCAATGGAATACAAAAAAAAAAAAAAAAAAAAAAAAAAAGGAAAAAAAAAACCAATGTCAGCCTTAAAAGAAGATTTTAAACTGTTTGTTTATCAAACAAATAATTATCATAGAACATTTCATCGTCCAATAACAACATATTAATATTTAAATTCATCAACTCTAAATTATCATCGTCAATATAGAAATCCTCTATAGAGCTATTTATTGAATGATCCTGAAATAATGAAATATAAATATAAATTACGTTGGAATAATTTCTAATGAATTATTATCATTGTACTTACAGCCTTACGTATCGGTAATTTGCCCAATTGCAAATTATTTCCTAATTTTGGATGTGGAAATGTAGCTGGTAAAGAACGTCGTCTTTGTAATGACATTTTATTATTACAGGCTTTGCAATTATTATCTAATGTCGATGGAAAGGGCAATTGAAAATCATGCTTTTCATCAATCGATATTGGTGAAAAGAATTCTTTGGATGAAATTTCATTGAATACTTTTTTATTATTATGTTCTATCGTATCAGAATTATGAATTGGATTTTCGAAACGTTCAATAATTTTTTCATATTTTTCATCTTCATTTATAAAATTATTCGTATCAGTCTTAGAGTCATAAACATTATTTTCCAATGTTTCAATATCGATAGACATATTTTTATTTAATAAAGATGATGATCTACATGTATAATCCATTTTCTTTTTAGTTTTTATTTCTTCTATATCGTCGGTATAAGTCAAATCGTATGCTTTGTCGATAAAAGGTTTATTAATGTACGTGTTCTTTGTTATATTATTAATATTATTATAAGATTGTGAAGGTAAGCATGATGTAATCGCATCATTTTGAGTAGACGTAGAACAAATTATTTCAGTTGCTCGATCTAATGCATCTTTCAGAATTTGTAACGAGTTATTTTTATTATACACTATTTCCTCCGATTCCGGTATATTTTCAATAAGTACCCTATTATTTTGCACATTTTTTTCTATAAAAATAAAAATAAATATATTTCATTATAATATTACCTATTATTAAAAGTATTGCAATTTTTTAATAAAATATATATATATATATATATATATATATATATATATATATATATAATCCTTTATCACAAACCTGACTTTTTATTTGTATTAAATATTTCTGAATATTTTATGATATCTAATTTCGTAGAAATATTTTCAGAACTTTCTTCAGATGTTTGCTGTCAATTAAATTAAAAGATTAATATATCGATGTCAATTATGTTCACTAAATATTAATCTTAGATAACGTTGATACCACTTCATTTTTGTCCTCTTTCCTCATTTTCGATATACAAATTTCTTTTTCTTTTTTCCATAAGGATGATTCGAAAAAGTTTTGAGGATCTGGGATTAGTACCCGTGGTTGCATTATTGCATTTTTAATATTGGCAGGCATCTGAGAGTAAGGTTGCTATATGAAGAAGAAAAAGAAGAAGGAGAATATTGATATAAGAAAAAAAAATTAACCGGTAATAACATCAATAACGTCATAAAAAAAATTTAACGATGAACAAAAAAAAAAAAAAAAAAAAAAAAAAAAAAGAATTATTCATGCAAAAATACTTTGCGAGTTGCTTGACTCGGTGATACGTAAGATGAATCATATGAGCCAGGAGATTTGTTAAATTTTGGTTCTAAACATGTTTTATGACTTGCGGGTTTATGCGGCTCATAATCTTTACTTTTCACTTTGGACAATAGCTCCGTGTCCTTAATCGAATCTATTGAAATAAAATAAATATTTAAAGGATTTTATTCTAAGGTTAAAAACATTTTCTTTTAAAATTCATATTGTTCTTACTTCTTAAACTTTGTCTTTGTTCAAACAATTGTGGCGAACGTATACCATTAAAAAAACGTTCTCTTCTATTAGCAAGAAGTTCTTTAAGACGTTGCAAATTGAGACGTGCATTTACATCAATTGGAATATCTTCGACAAGATCGGTAACACCACCAAGAGATGACGATGATATAGAGCTATTATCAGATTCCGAAAGATTTTTTGGTATTCTTACTTTTTTATATAAATTATTCGATGTCATAGACTTTTTCATTTGTTGAGACTTTCTAAATGTATTGAAAGATTTTAGTTTCGACATATCCAAATCCACATTGTTATTTTTCTTTTTTATTTCTTTATTTTCTCGATCCAAAGAATGCAATTCATTTTCTTCATGATTATTGTACAAATCCTTCGATGGTTCATTTTGAATTAAAGTATTTTTTATATCGGTGGTACTAGGTAAGTCTATGGGAACTTCGGTGTCACACGTACGAATCTTAGTTCTTGTAGGATCCAAATATTGTTTAGTTTTGATAGAATTAAAATAATCCTTACTTTTCGTAGGATCCAAAATTTTTTTATTTATCGTAAGATCCAAACATTCTTCGGTTAAATTATTTGGTAAAGGGATTTTATGCTGATCTGTTTTAATTGATTTTTCGACAATTGGTGTTACAATTGTCTTATTTATTTCTGTTTTGTCCTTTTTGCACTCATCGACATATACGGGATCCTTATGCTCGTATTGTATCTAAAATTATGATTATGACGATGATATCAACAATAATAATAATAATAATATTAATAATAATAATAATAATAATAATAATAATAATAATAATAATAATAATAATTATAATGGCCTAAAAAAATTATTAAATCAATTGCAAGTAAGTTAAACTCACCTCAAGACTTTGCAACAATCTACGTATTTTATTAATATCGATATTTCGTTTGGCGATATCAATTTGTAAAGCAATTTCTAATAAACTATTAATTAAAGGTATGGAATTGCATAAATCTATGGGAATACCATGTTTCAATTGTAAATACTGTTTCTTGACTTCTGTTATGTCGCAGCCATTCCATGGTACATGCACTGTTAAACAATTGGACATATTTAAAAAATATGATGACGTAATAAAAAATATAATAATGAAAAATATAACAAAAACAAAAAAAGAAAAAAAAAAAAAAGAATTAGAAAACAAACGAGAATCATAATTTCTAATTTATTTTTCAAACTATTTATATATTTCATATAAATCTTATAAATATAAATTAGTACAATGGTACTAACATTAGTCTCATTCAGGCAAACTACATTATTAATTAAATAAAATGCAAAGCTTACTCGTGCACATTTCCCATATAAGTAAGGCAAGCCCATAAACGTCGTTCTCTTTGCAAGATATACCAGAAAATAATTCCGGTGCTTGCCATCTAAATATTTCACTACGTAAAATATCCTCGTACTCTTGTTTGGGCTTTGGCTACAATAGAACATAAAAAAAAAAAAAAAAGAAAAGAGAGAAAAAAGATGAAGAAGAAGAGGATGAAAAATTTTAAAGCAGAAAAAAATAAAAGAAAAGAAATAAATTAATAGAAAACAAAACAAAAAAAAAACAAAAAAAAAACAAATCAACTAATGAATCATCTTGCAAAAAAAGAACAAAAAAAAAAATAAAGAGCAAACAAGAAGAAACAAAAAAAAAAAGAGAGAGAGAGAGAGAGAGAGAGAGAGAGAGAGAGGAGGTTGGGAAAGAAAAGAAAAATAAAGAAAAAAAAAAAAAAAAGAAGAAGGGCTCTTTGTGAGAGACAGAAATTCCATCTAATTCATGGTCATGCCATTTAATTAAAATCCATTTGAACGACTTTCGTGAATCCAAATTATTCTCTACCGGTCTACCTAGATTACCCGCATTTTAAGTATCATCCGGCACCGTTGCAATAAACCTCGGTCATGGTAGAACGATTTTATACAGAAATCTACATTTCGTAGGAAACTAACAATAGTGTACACTGTTGTGTCCAGAGTTTCCTGCATTTCAACGTCGGTGCTGGGTGCGTCACGTGAATCACGGAAATGACGTATACTGTACAACCACCACCATCACCATCACTACTACTACCTCCACCTCCTCCTCTTCCTCCTACTCCTCCTATTCCTCCTACTCCTACTCCTCTACCTCCACCTCCTCATCCTCATTCACTGTTATCCCATTAAATCTTTCCTATTAACAAAGCTATTTCTCTTCGTTGTAACGCAGCGGGCGCAACTACCGAGTAAAAACAAAGAAAATAGGACGATGAAAAAAAAAAAAAAAAAAAAAAAAGAAAAAGAAAAAAAAAAGAGAAAAAAAAAAAAAAATTCCATTCTATTTTCATATAGAGGGTGTATCTGATTTGACGGTACAATCCGATATGTTATGATAATGAATCTGCGATGAGATCTTTTCTTTTTTTCTGTTTTTTTTTTTTTTTTTTTTTTTTTTTTAGAAGATTTCATTTTCGAACAAATTTCGATTTGCGGATACAAGTAAATGTACATTTGCATTTACACTTACTTGTATCATCATACGCTACTTTTGCGTATTATCGTTGGTATTAATTTTACATTGGTATAATGAAGGATGAAAGATGATATAAGAGTATTCTTTTTATATCGAAATAAATTTGTAAAAATTATTGATAATTATTGATGACGAATTGAAAAATTTGATTGATTAATATAAATCACGAAACGATCAAGTATATTCTTCTTTATGTTTGATTTATTCGTCGCGTGTAAATGAAAGCGAATATATTTTTTTTTATTCTGCAAACTTTCGACTTTAAATACATGTACATATATATATATACATATAATCGCGCGCGTGTGTGTGTGTGTGTGTACATGTATACATTTTTTTTTATATATCTTTTTTATAATTTTATATATCTCCCTTGTTTTTTTCTTTCTTTTGAAATACATACGAGATATATATACCTTAATATATTGAAACAATATTTATTGTTTATATTTTCGTTGATATTGTTGACTTTTATATCGTTAAAAAAAATAAAAAAATAAAAAGATGTCCAATAATCTTTTTTGTTTTTGTTTTTGTTTTGTAAAGAATAGAGAGGATTCACGAATGTAAAAAAGAAAAAAAGAAAAAAAAAGAAAAAAAAACTAAGAATACTAAAAAAAAAAATAAAACTAAAAAAGAAAAAGATAATATTAAAAAAAATGGCTTACTTTACCCAAGTTGATTGCCAATTCCCATCCTGCTAGTTTAACAGTTTCGCCAAAGGCGAGATAAACGCAATGCGAACTAATAGCACTATGAACGTAACCACGCATGTGTGCATGCCTAAGTGCATCAGCCAGTTTACCGGCGAACCTTGCCATCTCTCGAACGGAAATTCGTTCGCCTTGCTCGTGCATGTAATTGTAAAGGGTACAGTCAACAGGTTCGAGAATCGATACGAGACCGTAATCCTCCGTATGCGTCATCGCCATTAACATCACTATGTTTGGATGTCGAATTTTTCTAAAATGAGGAGTAAAAAAAAATGGGGGAAACAAAAATTGAGATAACAATTCGTTAAACAATCGTTAACATTTCAATTGGAATTTTTACAAATTTGCAAAGAGGGAGAAATATATATATATATATATATATATATATATATATATATATATATATATATTAGAATTTATGTATGATATCATTTAACGTGAAATATTATTTATTAATATATTAGGTTGGAAACTATGAAACGGGCGTTTTCGTTTAGTCTTTATTTTCATTCAACGCCCGTTTCATAGTTTCCAATCTAATATCAAGATGATATATATGTCTAAAATTTGTAAGTCCATTGTGATTCTAAAATATCGTCTGGTCACGTTTATCACGTAGATATATCCATGTTCAAAAAGAAATATTAGTTTTTCAACATTTCAAATAAAATAAAATAATATATATATATATATATATATCAAAAGTAAATGCCCAAAATATCTTTAGAGTCATAAGATATAATGATACTGAAAGTGAATTATTATTTTTTTCTTTTTCTTTTTTTTAAGTATTTCAATTCAAATTTTATATATACCTAAATGAATATATTTAAAATTCGTAATAATGAATTACGTCATACATCGTATGACAGATCTGTTTGAAAGTGTAATACATTCTATTTTAACAATAGAATAAAAATTATATCTATCGAAAGAAAAACTTTTGTAAAATTTGTAATAATTATTTATAAATTTTGAGAATCAAATTGTGCAATTGGATTTGTTTGCTGAAAGTGAAAAAATATTTCTGATTAATATTTCAATTTAAATTTTATTACAATCAAGAGAGAGAAAAAGAAAAAGAGAAAGAGAGATATTTAAAATTCGTAGACATGGGTTCTTAGTTATCATTTGATGATCACTTGATGATAGTAATAATGATTGTTGAAAGTGAAATATCGCAATGTAGACTTTCTCACGTTCGATCGAAATCACAAAAGAAAAAGGGAAACTCATAACTTACGTGAGAATTTCCATGTCGGTTTTGACCGCGTTTCGACATTCCGGATGCGTTTGCCTCTTTAACGAGATCCGTGTATTTTCCCATTCGGCATATATCAATTCCAAATATCGATCCTCCGTTCCGGCGACCAAACCAATCTCAAAGATCTCTGAGGCTGTTACGTTTGGTACATCCAATAATAATATCGAATTGTCTTCTTCTTCTTGTTGTTGTTGTATCGTTTTTTCCTTGTTACAATTCTCATTATCGTTCTCCACATCTTTACCATTTTCCGTTAACAAACTAACACCACCATTTACGTCTAAATTGTTTTGCGATGTTGCGTCTAACATAGTCGTTGAAAATCTTCGACGATCTACGAACGCTTGTAATGCGTTCCGATAAGATTCACTGAAAGAGAAAAAAAAAAATATATATATGTGTATGTTTATGTGTGGAGATATATATATATATGAAATAAAGTGAAATAATAAATTTTAATTCGTCATTCGTATGCTTGAGGTTGTCGCTGTTGACAATTTTCAATTTCCCGCCTTTCGATCTTCTTATTTTTTTTGTTTGCTTCCGCCATATTGCTTTTCTTCTCTCTCTTTCTCTCTCTCTCTCTCTCTCTCTCTCTCTCTATTTCTCTATCTTTGTCATTTATTTAAATATCTCGTTGAAAAGCGGGAAATTTGAAAACACTATAATGCTATAAGATATGGCGATAAAATAATTCACATATTATGCTCGTTATTATCATTGAATTAAATATTGATTCGACGAAATTTTATTTAAGGGATTTATTTAAAAAATTGAAAAAGAACAAAAAAAAGAAAGGGAATTTTTTACTCGATCATGATCTCAGAAAAAGTTCTGATATGCTATCAAAATATTATTTGCAACTATCATAAAGCAGTGATTCTCAATTGTCGAATTAAAAATCTTACATTTACTATAATTGCGGATTGTAGATATAAATAATTCTTCATTAATATATATATATATATATATGTGTGTGTGTGTGTGTGTATAATTTATAATAATTCTTTTACCAAATGAATTTCTTTTTCGATTTAAACACGTTAGAAAGATTCTCAAGGGATAATTCGTGCGACCGTAAAGCAACGGCAATCAATCCTCCCGATAAAAATCATACAATTTATAGAGATTCGTTAAAAAAAAAATTGTTAATTTCTCGAACGTACTTCGTTTTCTCATTCAAACAAGTTCGAAAGATTCTCAAGGGATAATTCGCACGACCGTAAAGCAACGGTAATCAATCTTCGCGATAAAAATCGTAGGTTTAATAGCGATTCTTTAAGAAAAAAAAAAAAAAAAAAATTGTTAATTTCTCGAACGTACTTCGTTTTCTCATTCAAACAGGTTCGAAAGATTCTCAAGGGATAATTCGCGCGACCGTAAAGCAACGGTAAATCAAATCTTCGCGATAAAAATTGTTACGTTTGAAAATGATTGATTAAAGAATTCTAAATTTTCCGAATTTACTTAGCTTTTTCATTTTATGATTTTAAATAGATTCGAAAGATTATTCACAAGAGATAATACGCAACGCGCAACGATAAAACGTCTAATAAAATGATCATGAGTTTCAATGAGGTTATGCCGGATTTATATAGAAGGAAAGTAAAAAAAAAAAAAAGGAGATCGAACTTACGCAACTTCATCGGCACTTTTCGCCCTTTGTCGTCGTTTCTTTGCATTGCAAATCGTCGTATAAGAAATCGACATTTTCTCTCTCTCTCTCTCTCTTTGCCCCTTTCTCTTTCTTTCTTTCTTTCCCTATCTCTTTGAAATTCTCTTTACTTTCCTTTCATACTACTTCTCTTTTTTTTTTCTTTTTTTTTTGTTTTTATTTTTCACTTCTCTGATCTAGCCGAATTATATTTTACTGATGTTAAATTCGATAATCGATCAACGATGGCACCACCGGTTAGCGTTAAACTAAACAAAATTATGGATGAAAACCAATCAGAACAATCGAAATATATTACGTCTTATTGGACCAACGAATATAATTTTCGAGTAAACGTATTATAAAAGGAATTATCTCATTGGCTCATTTTTATCGTAATTTTTAATTGGCTAATTAGACGATTACCGTTACTTTTTATAAATGTGTATGTGTATATATATATATATTATATATATATGTGCAGGGAGAGTTCCTCTTTTCCCCTCACGTCCCCATCCCACAATTGGCAACGGACATTTAGTAAATCGTTATGAGTTACTTACTTCGAAAAGGTTGATTGTCTCGACAAACTACGTCTGCTTCTATCCCGATAGCCAATATCTCTGTAAGTATAAACACAATAATATGTATATATAATCCATATTTATAAGAAAGATTAATAATCGATCGGAATTACGTGAGACATTAATAAAAAAGAAATAGAAAAGTATTACAAAATCGTGAATATATATTTTAACGAAATGATAAAACGTAAGAGTTTTATATCTTTGAAAAATACGATTTGATCGAATGATCAAAAATGATAATGGATTTGTGGTTTGAACGGAAAGGGAGAGGTATCATTTTAACGATCTCTTTTCGATTTTCATCGAATTAAACGATCGTTGAGATCATAAACTTTCTCTCAATATTTTATACCTTTGTCTTGATTATTATTACCTTGTATATATAACTTATGTTACTATGTAACGTTAGAATTTCGTATAGAACTAGTTTCTCATTGTCAGTCTCTCTCTCTCTCTCTCTCTCTCTCTTTCTCTTTCTCTCTCTCTCACGCACGCACACACGCACGCACGCACGCATGTATACTCTTATGTGTGACTTGTGTGTATATATATGTGTGTGTGTATATAATTGGTTGCGTATATATTATATATACGGAAGACAAGTTGAACTCATTATTAATCCAATTTGCATATGCAGGTTGTATACATTGAAATACATTCATTACTTGAATCTTAATAGAGAAAGTATCAAAGCACATTGGAATATTTAATAAATGTTAATCATGTCCGAGACTTTATTTTCAAGATCCGTATTACTATTATCTAGTGGCTATAGTTGGTACTAATATTAACGGGGATATCTTCTTTTAATGGTAATCAGATACGTGTTGTTACTTTGATTAGAATATATATATATATACATATATTCTATATTCTATATTCTAATACATAGTTTATATATATATATGTATGTATATGTGTATATATTTTATTATATAAATTATATATTATTATGTTTGTATATGTGTCTGTATAAAATTATATAGTTTTATATACTAATACATAATACTACATACATGTATTTATTTATGAGCATTAATATGGGTATTAATATATAAATTATTTTTACAGAAGAAAATGTAAGAGGAAGATGCACCTGTTCACGTGAGGTTGAAAGAGGAGAAAGATCTTAAGATCTTACGATCTTACGATCTTACGATCGTTATTTATACGTGGCAAGAGATCACGGAGGTCATTCGAGCGAGTCTACGATCTTGAGAAAAGTAGGTAACTGTTAAATTCTTATTCTACTCTATTCTATTCTATTCTATTCTATTCCATTCTATTCTATTCTATTCTATTCTGTTCTATTAGAACAGAGACGAAATTTATGTTTTAAGAATGTATTACTTTTTTTTTATTATATTTATTTATTTATTTATTTATTTTTTCATAGTTTCAGATCGTAAAATGCGACAGACAGTGATCCTCATCGATCCATATTATATAGTTTTATATATATCTATGTGATTTATTCGTTTTGTTCTTTAGTTTAGTTTTTTTTTTATTTTTATTTCCTTTTTTATTTTTGTGATATTACGTTTTTCATTTCGTTCGCAATTAAAAATGGCGCCAAATTCGTTACACTCGTCTCGTTGATTTCATTTCGAATTGCGTGCAACTTTTATTAATATTATTTATTTTTTTATCGATACGTATATATGTGTGTGTGTGTATATATGTGTGTATGTATTTTGAATCAGTGATTTAGATTATTTTATAGAAATTATAAAAGTATGATCGAATTAATAAGATTTTTATTATTTCATCGTTAATAAAAAAATGGACTCGTCCGATAAGAGGTTAATTGAACGAATAAAGAAAAAACAAATGGACTCGTCCAATCAGAATTCGGTTGGAAGAAAAGAAAAAGTGGACTCGTCCAATAAAAACGTTAGTTGAAAAATAATGGACCCGTCGCGAAATATTCAAAGTTACGCGCAGAGGTAATAAACGCGATAAATATCGATTATTTCGCGCGAAATGCATTGTTTCGTTATTTTCCGGATAATATAAATAATATCCTGCAACAAATTGTCGTTAGAAAATAAAACAGAATTGCTTTTTTTTTTTGTAGGAGATTAGAGAAAAAAAATATTTCGAAAGTGAAAATATTCATCCTACTTCGTCGAAGAGATTATTTTCAGAAAGTTCATTCGTTCGAGTTTGTAAGTATAAATTTTTATTTCTATTAACTTTTCTATTTTTTTTTTTCCAATCTAATCTACCAGTATGTATGTAAATATGTTTGTATTTGTATATATAATGAGTTAAAGAAAGAAAAATAAGATAGATTCCTTGTAGGAGAAAAAAAAATTCGTATTTGTTTCTCTCTTTTTTTTTTTTTCCAAATTTTTTATCAACTTTTTTATTTCGTAATTTAATTTGATCTAAATATTTGTGACGAGATAAAAAAAAAAATTTTTTATAGCAAACAAGAAAAAAAGAAAATAGAGATTCCATCTTCATTTTTGAAAAGTTAATAAGAAAAAATAAATGAAAAAATCGTAAGAAAATTTTTTAAAAATGAAAAAATGTTTTTTTGTTAAGTCTCATTTTTATACATTTTTTTCCTATCACTCAGCATAACCTATAAACATTATCTAACATTCTATATGTTCTTTCCAATTACATTTTTTAATTTCATTTGACATAAACAAATGCGACAAATTTTCTTTTTTGTTTATAAAAAGTGCTGAAAATTTTATAGGAGTGGAAATATCGTGTATTTTTCTTTTTCTTTTTTTTCTTTTTATAATTTCCTTTTTATTAATTTCTGTTTTGAATTTGACCTGTATATATATTATATATTAATATATATACTATTTTTATATTTTCTAATCTAATAGAAACTAAATACATATAACAGATTGAAAAGAAAATAAGTATATAGGTTTCTTTTGCAGATCTTTTGAAAAATGAAGTTCTTATTTTTTAAATAAAAATAAATTAATCCATTACATTGACAAATAAATTTTATTGAATAAATATTGCAATATCAAAATTTCTAAATTTCACTTTACAAACATCACCTATACCGACACTATATTTTCTTTCTAATTCCATTTCATGATCTAATTTGACCTACATACATACATACATACATACATATATATATATATGTATATATACATACATATATCTATCTGACAAATCGAAATAAAATAAAAAAAAATAAAAATATATTTCCTTTTTTACAGGATGAAAAGAATTCAGTAAAAAAAAAAAAAAGAAGAAGAAACAAAAATGACGAGGAATTTTTATATCATAAACTCATCCAAGTAAGTAAATAAATTCCATTAATATAAATTTCTTTTTTATCTGTTTCATATTCGCTTGCAAACATTATCTAACATTATAATTTATTTTTAATTTCAATTTTATCTATATCTGGATATATATATATACACACATACACACGCACATCCATATATATATATATATATATATATATATATGTATGATATAAGATCAGATGAGTGAAATAACAACGGAATCTGTTGTAACAATCTCCAAGTACTTACTTTATTATATTCGAGAAAATGAGGAAGATATGAGAAATACGTGTACATCTATAAAATAATAATAATGCTATCATACATCTTGTGTATCTAAGCTAAGGTAAGGTAAGGAAGTAAAAGAGAATCGATTCTACTAACGGTTTTTAAGAAGTAACACGTAAGATCGAAACGACAGGGGCTCTCGTTCTTTTGGGCACACTGAGATAATTAGCCCGTGTCTTCGATACGCTTGAAAATTTTTTGAACATTTATTTTCTAAGGAAAGGTGGAGTAAAGAGAGAAGGTAATGTGGGAATAGAGAATGAGAGATTATTTTCGAGCGTAAAATTAAAAAAAAAGAAAAAAAAAAGAGAAAAAACGTTCACTTGTTAGCAGAGTACAAAATCAAACAATTGTTTTACTTGATCACGTTGACATTATTTAGTTTAGTATTTTTTTTTTTTTTTTTTTTTTACGTACGTTGTGTTTAACATACACACGTATGTGTGTGTGTGTGTATAAAAATTTTGTAGAAATTTTTAATGTAATAATTCTAAAATATTATTTTTGCATAATGTAATTGTATACGTATAAATAATGTATGATACATGTGAATAATGTATGATTAATATCGTATATATATATTAATATTTATATATACTTTAGTGCATATATTATTATTATTATTATTATTATTATTATATAGATATAAGTACTATTGTATATAAGTATTATTATATATACATTAAAAATCATAGAAACATTTCAATGGAAAGATCATTTTTATTAATATTGTTATTAATAAATTAGATAAGAAATAAAATAGAATTTAGAATAGAATGGAATCAAACGAAAGATATTACAGATAAGAAAGATAGATCATGTTGATTGTTTCAAAATCATTTGTCGTTGATCTTCTCTTAATAACTTTATACATTATAACATTAACAAAATCTTTTATCAACATAAATGTACACAGACACACACACACACACACACACACACACACAGAGAGAGAGAGAGAGAGAGACGCATATATGTACAAATAAACACAATAATAGATTTAAACCGAGTTTCGTTCTTGTTATCGTTATACTTGACACGAATGTAAACGTCCTTCACCTTTTCAATCATGATGTTATAATGAAAAAAATATACATAGTTTAATGTTATAAAACCGTTGTATACATGTATATATATATATATATATATATATATACATGCAAAAGATAGAACTAACGTTAGATTCTAATGAAAGTGATTGGTGAGCCTGTTACTCCTTCAAAGAATTAATATATGTATATATATAAGAATATATATTCAAATGAATTCGTTAAATGAACAGAAAAAGAGAAAAAGAAAAAAAAATGAAAGAGAGTGAGAGAGAGTTATCGATGAAGAGTTTGTAATATGATAAGCTTCATGTATTTTGGTATAAAGGTCACATCTCTCTGTATGATTCAAATTACATGGAAGATGTTGATCTTGTTCTCTTACAAGTAATGTTAAATCTTACATTGAAAATTATTACAAGTTAATATTTTTCCTTTATTTATATATAAAAAGTTTTATATTAATTTATAAAAATTTTCTATTTTACATACACACACATACACATAAACATGCATATATATATATATATATATAAATAATTTGAATTGTAAAGCAATGAATAATTTTGCAATGTAAATAATATCATAAATGATTAATTGTAAGGACTTACTTTCGGAGCCACTTAAATACTCCTAACATTCCCATAACGTAATTGAAACGGCACAATGCGAATACGTCTTTTTTTAATATGCCGATTATGATATATTTTTAATCGATTGACCGATGATACTTTACTGCGCTTTTTATTTTTTCTTTTTAACTTTAAAATAGAAGGTAGGAATGTTATAAGAAAAAAAAATAAAAACGATAATAAGAAACAGATGCACGCGTAACGAATCTCCTTCTCCTTGTCTCGCGACACTTCGCGATCGTCTGACAGTACGTTTCCAAACATTTGTTCGCACTACCAACGTTTGCTCTTTTCTCTTTCTCTCTTTCTCTCTCTCTCGCTCTTTCTCTCTCTCTTCCCCACTTTTATCTACAGTTCACCCCCTCCTCCCCTCCTACCTCTTGCTTATTTGCTCTTCAAGAGAAGTTGTGGGATTTCTGTTGATATTCAGGGATGAAGAGGGGAGAAGAGGGTCGATTGGTGGGAGAGAGAGAGAGAGAGAGAGAGAGAGAGAGAGAGAGAGAGAGAAGTTTAATACTTTTGATTCTTTCTCTCTCTCTCTCTCTGTCTTTCTCTCTGTTACGTAGCTCTTTCTTTTCTTTTTTTTTGTTTTGTTTTGTTTGTCCTTCCTTATTCTTCATTCTTTGAATTTTAATGCCATTTTTATTTCTTTTTTTTTAATATTATTATTATTATTATTATTATTATTATTCTTTTTTATTTTTTGTGGATTTGTTTGCTTGCGACTTCTCATCCTTTTTCTTTTATTATTCTTTTTTTTTTCTTTTTTTTTTTTTAGCTCTAATTTCAGGTTTTATTCATTCGCATGAGAACTGACAGAGTATTATATCCGTATTGTTTTACACTTACACACACACACACACACACACACACACACATAAATGTATATGTATGTATATATGTATTTTGTATATATGTATATATATATTGTGTATTATACTTGAGAGTATGTTTTAATATTTATACGACCTGGTGTAAGATGATGATCGTTTAGTATAAGATATTCATTAAATATGTTTAGTATGTGTTAACATATGTGTGTATATATATATATATATATATAGGTATATTAGATTCTAAGCGATCCTTCCATTTAATATTTTTAGTATGGATGATACTTCTTTTTTTTATTTATTATCTTTTGATTCACTTATTTTTTTTTTTTTTTTTTTTTTTGTCAAATTTGATGTCTCGAGAATTAATTTGATAATTGAATAATGAACGGAAACATTGTCAGAAAAATGAATTCGATAATTGAATGCATAAAGATAATCGCAAAGAATTAATCCGATTAATTTGATATAGAGAGAAATGAATATGAATTAGATTATTCGAACGATAAGGTTATGATTATTAATATTATTATATCATATTAATCCTTTTACGTTAATTCAACGTCTGAATTAAAATACGATACAATTGGATCAATGT